AGCGAAATCTTGCAAAATAAACTTTTTCCTTTATTTCCTTCTAATTCAGCCTTTTGTCTTTCGTTCATAAATTCGTTCGCAAATTCATTAAAGCAAGTGTTTTTAGTAAATGTTAAAATTGATTGAATGTCATCAATGATAAAATTAAATCTGTCGATTAGATACCATAGATAATAAGAAGAAAATGGTTGATATTGGTTGTGTGTTGATGCTAACTGAATTAATTTCCTCTGTTTCTGGTCAACTGGTAGATTGTTTGATTTCATGTAATTATACATAAAACTGCCAATTGTTTTTTCATCTGTGATAATATCTAAGTTTCTTATTATCGGTAAAAAGTTTATGTAATCATTAATGTATTTTTCATCAATGTGCCCCTTTACTTCAGCCACGAATAAAGTATTTTTCTTCTTAATTATTCCCAGTGCTTTTGCTTTCTTTGTTGCTGTATCACAAATGATAACCCCATTCAATCTTCCCGGCATATACATTTTATGGTCAGTATATTGAATGAAATCATGAGGATTAGATGAAAATGATGAAGGATATAATGAATTAAAGTCAACACCAACGAAATGAGTCATAATGTTGGTGGTGTCCTCATTTGATACAGTTTTAGTTTCTGGACTATATGAAAGTTTATTAATGTGCGTGATTCCTTTAAGATTAACACGATGTTGAACATTTGATAAACCACCAGTAATTCCATTACGGAGAATGTGATAAGCTTCAACTGAATCTAAAGTCATTGGTAAATTATTTTTTAATGCATAATTTCTTAAATTGATTCTTAAACGTTGAACATCTTCATCTTTATTTGATTTCACGACATTGCAATAACAACACATTAACTGACAATTTTCTTTAGTATGTGGTTTTTCATTATCTATTCTATCTAATGTTGGTTTATTAGCATATGTAAACGCTTTACCACACATTTTGCATTTAGATGAAAGGATTAAATCGTGATAGTATTGAAAATCATCCATTGAAACATTATTTTTAGTATCCTTTCTGCTTTTTCATCTTGTTTCTTATATGATTCAATTTTATATTTCCAATACTTTTTCGTTAATTCAAAACTTGATTCTATCTCTTCCTCAGGATATTTTTCATTAGGATTAAAGTCTTTATATGCTAAAGCGTAACGAATCATTGAAGCATTCGATGATAAAGAAAGATTATGAAGCATATCAATTTTATAAACAAATGTTTCTTCAATAATTTTATCGATTGGGTCAATCATAATTTCAACATCTTTATTGCAATAATGAATAAAATATTCTAATCTATTCTTAAAATTTTTAGCATCATTGAGATATATTTGATAATCACTATCTGATATAGTTTCTTGAGTTAATGCTGAATAAAATGAATCTTTCGTGAATGGTTCCTCTTTATATAATTCTTCTTCGTAATTCTCCCATGTGATAAATTGATAAGGGAAAAAGGATTTAACACGTGATTTATTGTTTCCGAAATCTTGAGTGAATTGGTCTAATGTCCCACCCGCTATATAATTTCTGATGTCAATAAATCTCAATTCATATGGAGCGTTTGTTTTCTTTACAATGACTTGCTTAAATTGAGAAGAAGAACCCAGCATTGATTTTATTTTCCATTTTGCAGTGTTTAAATCACGAAGAATTAAATTTAAATCAAACTTTCCCGAATTAAAACCTATGATATTCACTTTATTGAATTCCTCATCTAGAAGTTCTTTAAATGCTTCCTTCTATTTTTCATTTAATGTATGGGACAAAGTCCCCGCCGTTTGCGACTTCAATAATTCATTGTATTGACTCATATTTGATTTAGCAACTAATGAACAGGTTGAAAATAAAAACTCAATCCAATCAGAAATAAAAGAATCACTCGAAGTTAAGCAAAAATTCCTCGTGTATGTTTTATCGTTTAATTTAACCGTTGATGATACCATGAATGGTTTTAAGTAAGCGTTCAAAGTTGCACACTCAGAAAGTTGTAATTCTTCTTTAGTCTCTAATGTTTCAAAGTCAAAAGTAATATAATATCTTGTCGGTTTATAATATTTCTGCAAATTGTGAGCTAATAACCACTGATATATCTTCTGTTTCGTAATATGTGGTGCATATGGTTGTTGTGTGTTTTGCAATTGAACGTCTTGAATTAATCTTCCATTATTTTCTTTACATTTCTCACAATGCTTTAAAAATCTTCTTTGGTTTTTCCTTTCTGGATCATCACGGATAGAATAAACTTCTTCTTTACAATATGGACAAACTTTATAGCCGGTGAGTGCTTCAACGTCTGTTATTCTGTCAGCGTGAAGTTTTCCACATGGACTCTGTGTTAATAAAATATTTACTGTTTCAAATTCTGGATCTATCATTATTGATTCCACTAATGGAAAGTCTACCTTATTTATGTCCACGTCTTCTGGTTGAGGATCACAAAATAGAAATCAATATTAACATTTAACATTCTCGCTAATCTCTCACTTTCTGATGAAATGTCAAACCCTTCATATGCATCTATTGCTTCATTTAAATAGCTTCTACGAGTTTTAGGATTAACACCATCAGGAATGTTATAGAAGCGTTTAAATAACCTTCTACCTTCTGCTCTAATTTGATTATCATTCATTTTAGCTGTTCCGTTTTTGTTCATTTATGTAAGAATAAAAAATTAAAAAATAAATAAAAATAAAGTTTATTTTTTAAAGCCCATAAAATGAATTAAGAACACATAAATTTTTATCATCTGCGACGTGACGAATACATTTTAATTTACTCAAGAATGCGTACCCTGATACATTAAATCTAATTCCTGTCTTATTTAATTTCACAACTTTGAAAAGGAATGTATGAATAGCTATAAAATGATGAGAAGATGTTTTATGGGTTGCTTCCATTTTTTCTGAAATAAATGAATAAATATAATGCTTATACGTTTTCATATCTTTTATATTCTTAATAACGAATGGTATAGACCTTTCCACTTCATTTCCTTCGGTGCTGTTCTTTCATATGAAACATTATTAGTATCTTCAACAATGAAACCGCAATCACATAAAATTTTATATGTTCCAATGGTTTCTTTTGATATTTTATCTAATAAATCAAAAACTTTATCAACACCTGTGCATTTATTTAAATAATAATTTGTGTAAATATCATGATCTTCTTTCTTAATCGTATTAGTTGCATATGTTTTTTTAAGAGCTTTTTTGAATTTCTCAGAATCGAGAGGGGTGAAAGTAAGATACAAGGGTATTCTTCATTATCAATAAATTGTAACTTATGTTTACGAATAAATTTAGTACCTTCTTCTGAAAGTGTTTCGTCTATTTCACCATCTAATAAATTTTGTGTTGATTCTGAGACATAATTTTTATATCTTTCTTCATGAGATTTCTGAACTTCTGATTCTGAAGCTGGGATATTCATTAAACCCTCTACTTTTTTCATTATATTTTTCAACTTCTCTTAATTCCTTAATTCTTTCATCTATTTCATCTCTTATTTTTTTCAGTCTTTCAATTTCATTGTATTCATCATCTTTAATCCGTTCTTCATAATATTCGGGAAAACATCAGGTTCTTTAGGTTTTTCTTCTTCAGATGTGGGATATAAGAAATTTATAACATCATCTTTATTCATTTTTCCATCATAATCTAAATCATTTAATAACTCGGCAAATTTTTGACAATTTCTTAAATAATATTTATTAACTTCATAACCTCCTCTAATATATCCTTTATTTCCTCGTTTGTGAATCCTAATTTTTTAACGTTGTTAGTTTTGACGCTCATTTCATACAAAATAAAAAAATAAAATAATAAACATAACTAAGTTTTAATTTTTCGTAAGAAGTTTATTTTTTAAAAATTTTTTATTTTTTATTTCATTATGGCAGTGAATCTTTTATTCATGAAAATAATTATTTCTAATTTCTTTTACTCTCTCGTACATACTAGATTTAAAGAATTCAGAACATTTCCCATAATCTCCTAAATGTTTTCTTATCCCTAACGTGTGCCAGTTATTATATGAAACTGAATAAACTTTATCTTTATCTTTACACCTTTCATCACTTCCAATATATTTATATCTCAGTTTTGATTTAGCATTTTCATATTCATTAACGTTTAATAATTCACAGTCTTCCTTTTTAAATTGATGTTTAAGATATTCAGGATTTAATACTCTATTTATATGCTCCTAACTTAGTTCTAAAGGTTTTTCTACAAAATTTAGGAATTCCATCCTCTTTAATGTCATCAATGATTTCCATTTCATTATTTTCAATTTCTTCTTCTCGTTTATGAGGTCTTTGATTATGACTCCATTGATTCCATGAAATTAAATATTCTTTAATTATATTTATACCTCATTAGCTTATTTTGGCTTTCATATTCATTTTAATTCACAATCTTCATTTTTAAATTGAAGTTTAACCCATTCAGGATTTAAACAATGTTTAATTAATCGCGGAATATCCGACATCATCTATATATAGCTTCTTTTATAAAAGATAAAAAAATAAATTATTTTAAAATTAATGTTAATTTTTTAATGATTTATAAATAAATATATTTTAATGCATCGTCTATATATAGATGTAACAAAAAAAGTCACTAAACCCGTCATATCCTACTACTCTATTATTAGGTTAAATGAAGTCTGGAATAATTTAAAATCACAAATTGGAATTTGAGGATATTTATAAATTATATCGTACTAATTTGTGATTGGGGGTTTTTAATAAATATCCTCAAAAATAACGTAGTCGACAATAAAAATGACTCAAAGGGATTTTATTGATTTCATGTGCATATTGAATCTGTCAGTAATTTTTAAACCCGAAAAAATTGGAAACGTTTTTGCATTTGATCATCATGCCAGGCAATGGCATTCTATTAGAAGACATGTCCAGGTAATTTAATTTGGTAGATAACATTAAAAATATTTGATTAACATTAAAAAACATACATACAAAATATTTATTAAAAACATAGTCTAATTCTTTCTTGGTGAACTTGTAACAGGAAGAATACCAACTTTCGGACTTTTTCCGAATCTTTTGTTATATTCTTTCTCTTTACTCACGAGAATAACTCTGTATTCTCCAAGTTCTTTCATTGAAGTCTGTAACTGACTTGTAATCAATTGCAACTTACCTTGCAGCTGTTCTACTAAGTCTATTTCTTGTTGACGCGGTGGACATTTCTCAAAAGTTTGTCTTGCTTTGTTTCTTCTCCTTGTTAAGACACTGATCTTTTCATTGTAAAAATCTTCCATTGAAGACCAATCTTTTTTGTTTTTCTCGAATTCACTTGACCTCTTCTTTTCGCATTCTTCTAGTGAGGCATTGTTTATTGTTTCTGCTTCTTTGTATTTAGTTTCATGCGAATTTTTGTCTGATTCTAATTCATTTTTAGATTTTTCGATTTCTTTGGTTAAAATAACAGAAGAATTATTGAATTTATCATTTTCTTCCTTATTTTGTGAATCTGTTTTGAGTTTCAATGAAGATAATTGATCTTGATATTGTTTCTTAATTTCATTGAGTTCTAATTGAGATTTCTTTATTTCTTCATCAATTTTAGCTATTTCATTCTTGTTATTTGCATCTAATTCAGCAATTTCGTTTTGATGAATTGAATTTAATCTGGAAATCTCTTTTAGTTGGTTTTCATTGTATTGTTGCTGTGATTTATCAAATTCGCTCATCATTTCTTGTATTTTTAGCTTGTTTTGGTCAATTTGAGATTGAAGATTTTTGATATTATCAGTAACATTAAGTTCTGCAAGTTTTTTATCAAGAGTTTTCATTGTGCTATCGAATTTATTCTTAGATAATTCCATCATTCTATTCAATTCCTTAGATTCATAATCCAAATCTCTTCTTTCGACGAAAATTGCCTTTTGTAGGTCAGTTAATGCCATAGCTTTAGCATCTTTTTCGGGATCTTCTGTCGGAACTTCTGAATGACGCTTGTTTTCTGCTTCAAAATTTGCTCGATATTCATTTAAGAGTTTTTCTTTCTCTTTTGCCCAGTTATCGTTTTCTGTTTGGATTTTATTCTCTATTCTTCGTATTTCTTCGTCAAGTTGAGCAAATTCTTCTGAATTTACTTCAAGATTTCCAAAAGAATTAAGTTTTTCCTCTTCAGAACGGAATTCTTTCAACATCTTTTGGTTATAATCTGCAAGTTCTGTGTTGAGCATTGCTTCTTTATTGATTTTTGACATTGTTTCGTCGTATTCAGTTTTAATTTTCTCATTTGTTGAATTTACAGTCTTTTTATGGTTCTTTCTTAGTTTAGAAACCGATAAATCATGCGATTTCTTATCTTTTTCAATAGAATTTTTATATTCATTGTTTTGAGATTCAAATTGCGAATTTAACTTATTTTCTAAGTCTTTTACAAGTGAATCTGTCTTATCCTCATATGCCTTGATCTTCTTTTCGAACTCATTCCTCTTCTGTGATATGTTTTCAATTGAATTTTTCAATTGAAGCTGAAGTTTACTTGTTTCGTCATTTGAATTCTGAAGTAATGAGTTACTTTTATTGTTTAAGTCGTTTTTGGCAGCATTATAACGCTTTTCTTCATCAGAAATCGCTTTATTTTGATTTTGATTTTCTAAATTGATTTTATTCTCTCCTTCCTTCTTCAAATCCTTTAATTGGTTGTTCAAATTTTCAACTTGTATATTTCTTTCATTCGAAATTTTGATAATTTCCTGATGAATTGAATTTAATTTTTCTGTTGAAGAATTTACATATTGTGAATGTTTCTGTCTGATACTTTGGAGCTCTGCTTCACGATCTTTGATTAATTTTTGGATGTATGCATCGAGATTTGAAAATTGAAGTTTGATATCTTTGTTTTTCTCTGATAAAGCAGTTTTCATTGATTCTTTCTCTTTCTCATAGTTTGACTTTGCATTTTTGATGTTGTTTGCATCGGAAATTTTCATTTGTTTTAATTCATTTTCTTTGTTTTGTTTTTTGGATGAATAATCAGTTTCGAGCTTTGCATTCCTTTGTATCTTATCTGTTATTGATTTCTCTTTGTTTGCAATGATATCTTTCAACTCATTTTTCGTTTGATTTAATTTTATTTGAAATTTGTTTTTATTTTCGGTTTTGGATTGAACAAGTGATTCACATTGATGTTTTGCTTCATCAATTGACTTTTTTATTTGAGATGAACGATCTTTCATCTTTAAAGCAGCTTCTCGAGTTTTTGCTGCAGCATCTGTAATTTTTGGAGTAGATTTAACGTCAGCAATATCTCTTTGATATTGGTCAACTATTTCTTGTAATTTCTTGGAAGATTCTGCTTGTAGTTTCTCTAAATTGTTCTTCGAAATTATTTCAACGTTTTCGACTTCGTTTAAGTACACATTATTTGCATTTTCTACATCTTTGGCTAGTTTAGCTCGAAATGACTCAATATTTTCTATCATGGTATTCTTATTTTTTTCGATTTGAAAATTTACTTTTCCTATTTCAGATATAATTTCATTCAAATCAGCTGTAAAGGTTTCTTCGTTAGTTTTAATCTTTTCTATCCTTTGATTAGTAAAGTTTTTATCTGAAATAGCCATATCTTCTGTTTTTGTCTTATAATCTTGATTTATTGTTGATAGTTTTGCATTAAGTACTGCATCTAAGCGTTTCTGTTCCTCAGATATGTAAACATCGTATGCGCTACTCAGATCATGAAATTTTGAATTTGATCTGTCTTGTAGAAATTGCTTTTGATAATTCATATCTGCTATCTGGTCATCGAATATCTGAATAACCTTGATTAGCTGACTTAATTTCTTCGCTATGTTATATTTCAAGGCTTTCGACATTCTTTACGTTTATAAAAATTTTCATAAAATTTGAGCATTTGTCTATTGAATTGAGCTCTTCCGAAACACTATGATGATCTATAGATTAAATTTATTCAAAATAATGAATGTTTTGGAAAATCCACTCAAACACTCGGAAGATTTGAACTAACTTTTTCATGAATTCTCCTTAAAATTCATGATAAGACACACTTGGTATGTTTTTTCATATCCATTCATTCATTTGGAACTTTTGCCATCTTTTAGCCTAAATGTATTTTAAAAGATCTTTTATTGAAGTCTTTAAAGTACTCAAGGAAAATATCATACAAAATCTAGTTGAAGTTCTCAATATAGTTGAGAAATCTTCTCATGAATCTAAGATTAGACTTGCAAAAGTCATGAAATATTGAAGATCAAAACATAATTTCGGACATGAGCAGAGAGGTAATATATAAGTTATTCTGAGATAGCCATGGTTAGGGTTTCCAATAGATTTCGTTCCGTTTGGAAGACTCATTTCTTCATTGCCTGCAAGTATTTTCGGGTTCGAAAAAGCGATATTTTCGAAAGTCGAACATTCAGGGTGACCAGAGATATAAGAACTTCCGCCAGAACCTGCGGAATTATATGAAGAAATGGATGATGTTCCTCCCAAATATCCCCCACCACGACCCCCGCTTCCTTCACCCATACAGAAATTAGAACTAGTCGAGCTTCTTCCATCAGAACCTTTTCCATCCAATTTTCCGAAAGATTGTGTGGCACCATCAGAATTGGCATCATACATGCTTGTGCCCTTTCCAGCTTCAAGACCTCCTGCATAGCCTGCAGTAAGGCCACAGGCATGACCAGTTATCTCGGTGATTCCTGGGCCTTGAAAAGCCCCACCGCCGCCCGATACTAAGATTCTATTACTAATTGATTGGGTTTGGTAATATATCGTTGTAGCGCCTCCACCGCCGGCACCAGAACTAAATGAGCCATTGTATGGAGCGCCTCCATTTCCCCCACCACCACAGCCTCCTGCAGTAGTTCGAAATTCGCGAACTGGCCCTTCACCAATTCCGCCGACTATGGCATACAGCTGCGTTTGAGAGTGAAATTCAATTGTTCCTGCTGTATAGCCACCTTTTCCACCGTTGCTGCCTCCTGCAGCACCCCAAGCTTCGAAGAAATATTTTCCTGGATCGAGAAGAATGCTGTACGGAGTGCAAGCTTCATTATAATCGAAGTTGGAAACAACCTCTCCAGGTGTATTATGTTGGAATGAGAAGGAAAGATAAGAGGACAATCAAATCAGATCTTTCAATTTCAATTTTTTCAGACCATATTCAATAAATTAAGGCTTAATACGATATACTTGTGTAAACCTTTCAAATTTAAACATTATGATTTTTTCCCTTTTACTAACAATAAAACAATAATACATTTATTCAACTTTGTTAAATTCATCCAATTTAATTTTCAGTGCAACATTTTCTTCTTTTAATGATTTTCTCTCTGCATCACTTTCTATCAATGAATTCTTAACTTTTGTTAAAGCATTTCTCAAAACATTATTTGCATCAGTTAGTTCTTTTCTTTCATCAATGAACCTTGAGTTTGTATCTTTTTCAGCTGCAAGTTCATTCTTTGTGATGTTTATTTTCATTTCTAATTCTCTTATCTTCATATTCAAGTTAGAAATCTCTTGTTTCATTTCATCATCTTCTTCTTGAAGTTTTTCTATTGTATCTGTATAATATATTTTACTTTTCTGGAGAGAATCAATCAAAATCTGGAATGATTCTTTTGGCGATGTTTGAGAAGAAATTTCTCCAACATTTTCAAAAGTTTTCACTAAATCAATCAAATTAGAAAGTGAAGTATTTAGCCATTTCTCATCTTTGTTTTGTTTATCAATCAAATCATTTAATTTCTTTGTTATTTCGTCTTTTTCATAACCTAAAATTTGAACTTGAGCTAAAATTTCTTCATTTGATTTTGATAAATTATGATGATTCTCTTCTAACTCTTGTTTAACTCGTTCAGTCTCTTCTTTTGTTATTGAAAGACGTTCCAGACTATCTTCCAAGCTCTTGTTTGATGTTGTAAGTGAAATACATTTCTTCTTAAACTCTTCTTTTTCATTTGACAAATTATTTATTTGGTTTTCCAAATCATTGTTTTGATTTGATAAAAGCTGTGCGCTTTCTTTAATTTCTTGCAGGTTTTCTGATAACTGGATATTTTCATTAGACATTTTCATTAATTTAGCATTGAGTTCTGTGTTTTGGACTGTTAAAATACTGATTTTTTCTTTCAATTTTTCAATTTTTTCTGTCATGGAATTATTTTCTTTTGTTAATGTCTGTATCTTCATATCATTGTCTGTATTCTCGATTTCTCGTGTATGCAGTTTGTCTTTGATCTTTAATATCTTGGAATTTAATTCATTGTTGTCACTTTTTGTAAGTTTAAGGTTATTTTCTAATTCTGTTTTTTCTAATGATAGTTGATGTATTACTTCATCGAGTTCTGAAACTTGTGCTGCTAAATTATCTCTATCTGTCTGTATTTCACTTAATTTTGCTGAAATTTCGTTATTTTGATCAATTAATTTCTGATTTTTATTATCCATTGACTTTATTTGTTCGTTCAATGTTTGGTTCTCGTTTGTAATCTCTGCAATCTTTTTATCGCTGAGTTGGACTAATTCTGAATATTTTTGGTTCGAATTTTGCAAAGAATTATTTTTCGAGTTCATTTTATTGTTTTGACTCTGTAAATTAGCTATTTCTTGGGTCAATTCTTTGATCTTATTATCTAATTGCTCGTTATAATTTGCTAACTTGGAATTTTCCGCTTTAAGATTTTTATTTTCTGTATTTTGTTTGTCAACAATTCCTTGGAGTGAATTAATTTTATTTTCCTGGTCACTGATTGTATGGTTCATGGCCGATGTAGATTGATTAAGTCTAGTGTTTTCTTTGAAAAGATTTGAACGATCTGCTGTAATTATATCCATTTTGGATTGTAAACTAGATAAATCTGTTGTCAATTGCGCTTTTTCATTCAAAATTAATGTTTTCTCTTGAGATAACGTATTATTTTGTTTTTGTAATTGAGCTAAAATGTCTTTTAGATTATCGTTATGCATGCATTCTTCTTTGTACTTTTGGTTTGTATTGTTTAAATCTGTCTTTATCGCTTGAATTTCTTGAGATAATTGATTTTTGTTCTTTTGAAGTTTCTCAATTTCTAATTTGAGTTGCTGTATTTGGTTATTTCTGTCGTTTAGATTGTCTTGTAAATCTTTAATTTGTTTCTGCAAGTCTTCAATTGTCTTTTTTGAGTTTGAATTATTTTTCTGTAAAGTTTCGACAATATTCTCAAGTTGTTTGCTATTCTTATTTTGCGTGTTAACGCGATTTTTGAGTCTTTCGTTCTTTTCATTTAAATTTTTAATTTGATTTTCAAAATTTTCTTTTGTTTCAGCAGATTTTTGTATTAAACTTTTGCATTCCTGATCTTTTTCGGCCTTCTCTTTTTGAAGTTGTAATATAGAGTTATTTAATTTCGTTATATTGTCTTCAAGAATAACAATTTTCTGCGACATTTCATTTTTAGGTTGTTCTAGTATTTGACTTTGCTGTTGTATGTAAGTTTCGCATTGTTTTTTGATTTCTATTTGAGAAACTTTAAGATAACTGTTTTCAGTCATTAATTGATGGATTTTTTCGAGCATTTCATTATTTTCCTCAGTTAATATTTTGTTCCTTTCTACAAGAAGTTGAACTGAAGGCTGTAACCTTGGGTCAATCAGTTCATTCATCTAAAAAAGAGCAAAACGAAATAAATTTTGCACTTTTTTTTAGATTGAGCACTAAGTTTAATAGTATCATCTGAGTTTGTATTCAATTAGATCAAACATCTAAAGCAATAATGGCCTCATAACGTATCTATGAAGCTTAAATCACAAAATTTCAAATTATTCCATTCATAACATAAAATCTGAGTTATATTTCAACTATATAAACTTTGTAAAAAGAAATGACATATATGTTGAAGTAAATAAGACATACAAACAAATTTTATTCAATTTCTAACTTATTCAGGAAGATCAATTTTCCAAAGATCTCTTATTGCCTCCATAATACTTTGTTTCGCAGTTGTTTCAGCAATTTTATTTTTGATTAGACTTGATTCATATTTTTCTTTATAATCAGATAATATAACATCTGGATCATGGTTATATTTCGGCAAAACACTTTCATATGCTGCTATCTGTGATTTCAAATCTTGAATATTTTGTTTAATTTTTTCGTTATTATTGTACTCTGATGATTTTTGCTCGAGTTCTTCTTTCATATTTGATATTTCTAATCTATATTTTTGTAACTTAGCTATTTTAGCAAGTTTTTGTTCGTATTCTTTAGATTTAATTTTAATTTCTTGATCAACTGCTGTTATTTCTGCAAAAATCTTATTAATTTGTTCGGATTTTTCACAATTTGCTTGTTTCTTTGGAATAAATTGATATCTTTCAACTGAGTTATCTGAATCATCGTTTAACTTTTGTAATTGTTTATTTTTGATAAGTTCTGCATCTTCTATTAAACGTATAAGTTGACTTTTTTCATTATTTAATTTCTGCATTTGATTATTGAGTTTTGTTATATTTTCTTGGTAATCATTTCGAACCAAATCATCGTATTTGGCTTTTAGATCATTAGCTTTATTCAATGATTCGGTATACTCCTTTTTAGCTTCTTCAACTTTCTTTCGTAATTCTTCAATTTCCTCCATTATAAAAAAAATGACTAAGATAAAAGAAAAAAACATGGAATGATTTCTCATAATAAGTCTTTATGACTTGGTTATTATAGATAAATCAAAAGAAAAGAAAAAAATTGAATAAAATTTAAACATATGAAACATAAATACATTTACAAAAGCAATTTCGGCGGCATATACTGTTGAAAAAATCTTGTAGGCATGATTAATTCTCTTGATGCTATAAATGAAAGATCAAAAAAAGATTCTTATGAGGAAAATAGAAACAATTGAAGGAAATATTTCAAGATATCATGTTTCCTCCATAAGGTTTGGCATGATTTGATAAGTTTGCGCTTAATATTTAATGCTAAAATTGCATTAGATGTCAAACCGAATTGAACAAAAAAAATATCAGGATAACAAATCTACAAGAGAAGAATCTCACATAAACAGCATCTTCTCTTGTTGAGATTCTTATCTAAAATTATTACATTTTATAGATTTGGAGGCTCTGTTTCGAATGTCTTTTGATCATTTTCTTCATCATGTTCTTCTTCTTGATTTTTCTCAATTTCTCTTTCTTCTTGCTCTCTTTTCTCCTGAAGCCTCTTTTCATCCCATTTTTCGGCCATTTCCACTGCCATGTCAGTGAGAGTTGCTGCATTGGGGAATTTAAATTTCCTCCTGAATAATTTCATTTCTTTGTCTGTGAAACCTAATTTAGCAATATCTAAATGTCTAGCAAATTCAGGTATTAATTGTACAGCTAATAAGTCATATTGTTTTTTAATATCTGCTAATCTTTTTCTTTCATTCGTTAGCTTAACAAAAGAAGGTGCTGATCTTGATGGATAAGAATTATGTATGAATTGTGGGATCCATCCTTTAGAAAGCGTTTTCATTTCGTCATCAACTTTTGCTTGTTTGCTTAAATTCCTAAATTCACTTAAATCCTGCTGAACTTTCTTTTGCTTATTTGTCATGTCTGCAATAAGCTCTTCTAACTTGGCAATTTCTTCATTTAATACGCGTGTAGAGAAAAAAGATGTTTGATTTTGATCGTTTGATATAAAGTCTATACTTGTCTTCTTAACAGATGTTGCTTTTGTAGGAAATGATTGTTGTAATTGCGCTGTTTGAATATAACGTACAACTTCAGTTTGATTTGCATTAAATTCATCCTTCAATTCTAGCAGTTGAGATAGCATATAAACCTCTGGTTCTGCAAATTTTTCGTTAAGGATTCTCCTTAAATTATCTTTTAAATAATGCGCCTGATTATTCAATACATTAAGCTTCTGTGATAACCTTGTATACTCATATTTGCTTTTTGGAACGTTATTTAGCGTTGGCAATATCTTATTGGCATATTGAAGATTGAGACTCCCGAATTGAGTCATACAAGGTAAAAAAATGAATTATTATAAGTCCAACCTATTTAAAATGAATTGTTACTTACATGATAACTAAAATATTCTCTCAAAATCTCATTACACAGATCTAATAATTTTAGATATTTAGATTTAATCACAGCAAGAGTACAACCCTAATGCAGTATAACTTGGTCATAAAACATAAGTGCAATAAATTGAAATTTTGCAGAGAATTTATATCGAAATATGAAAATTCAAGAAAATGTGTAGCGTAAAACAAGAAAATTTTAGCTAAAAAGACATATATTGTTTAATTTTGACCGAAAAAATTGAATATTGAATAATTTTTTTTTGCAAAAAACTAAATATATTACAAACAGTTTACTAAAAAGAAATATCGAGATATATATTATTTCATGGCATTACCAGAATTTGGATACATTGGGTTCATCATTTGGATATTTTTCCCTGTAATTGTACACAAAAGTTGATAAGTGGTCTGTGAAAAAACTAAATTCTGAACTGGCAGTTGCATTCTACAAATAGGACAAATCCATTGGTGAGAAGCATTTGCTGTTTTGAGGTATTCTTTGAGATCAAAGCACTGGGAGTGCATGCATTGCTTACCTCTACCTGGATACTGTATCAATCTTCCAGTAGTTGGGTCAATTAAGCATTGTGGAATTCCATCAACCGGATCTGATGAAACTCTTTGAGTTTTGATCTCTTCAATGATCTCATCGTACTTCATGTATTTGACTTGTATGGCACTTAATAGATAATTTTGTGATTCTTGATCACAAAAAATATTTACAACGCCTGTTGTTGCGTATTTCGTAATATCTATGAATGGTAATAAATAAGCGCCTCTGTTCTTGATAGGAATGTTATTAATCAAAATAACAAGTGATTTTGGCCAATAAATGCATCGAGTTTTGGCATCTGGCGATAGAGACTGTATAATTATATGAACTCCTGGTTGTAAAGGAGGAATTTCGAATGAATATGAAACTTGAGCTTGACCTACAGGAGAATCAGTTAAAATTGGCGGAGCATTGATCAGAGAATATCTACAGTCGAATAATACTTCTTGTGGAGTTTCGAACTTTTTAATATTTTGAATATTTTGTTTCTGAACAATTCCTAAAACTTGATTAATTAAATTCAAATTCGAAGGACTTAAACTTTCAACATAAGTCAGTAACATTTGCTTCGTGGATGGAAAAATCTGCATTTCTGTCGCAATTTGACAACATTGCTGCGTAGATAAACTTTGAATAGAATTAATAAGAAATTCTTTCGATATTTGTCCTTTAGAATTTTCATCATTATCAACATCTCTGAAAAATGATTTTCTATTTGGCTGAGAAGATTTCTCTTTTCGATTAGACAAAAAAGCAGTGCCAGATTTCTGATTTTCTTTACTATCTAGAGATCTTTTTTGACTGAAATCGATAGTCGGAGGAGGAGAATATGGTGATCCAGCTGGTGATTCTTGAAAATCAGATTCAAGAGGGGAAACTGGATAACTTTGCATCAAGAAAAAAAAAATTATAAATAAAAAGGATATTTAAGAACTTTACAAATCTGACAAATTGTAAATCTGTCAAAAACGATTTTTTTCAAAAATTTTAGATCCAAAAAAATGATTTTTCTCCTTATTTTTATAAGAGAGAGTATTCTTAATAATCTGTGGGTTTTTTAGTGGAAAAAAAGTTTATCAGATTTATAATTAATAGCTGGTAAATATTAATTTGAAATAGAAAAATTGAATGCTCATTCAAATTTGATATAGTTAATTACATCATCTTTTAATGGTGAGTATTGACTTTGGTTACTATGGCGAGAACATTGCCACATACTCAAACGATGATGAGTTCATGCAGTTAAGAAATGTAGAAGAGATGTGTCTTATTATGAAGAATGCTCATTTATCAATTTCTGAATTTAATGATGTATTTGGAAGATTCAAGAGTCATTTCACTCCAAAAGAATTGTTTGAAATATTACATAATACTAGTATCAACATTGATAGTATTTCTGATTCATTAATATTAATTAATTCACTTTCAAGCATCTTAGACACAAGAATTTTTTCTGATATCGGAAACTCTATCAGATCGTACATTAACACCGCCGAAAAAGCACTATCAGAATCAAAGTTGTTAAGTTCCTTGAAGAAATGTTCTAATTATGATAGTTTGGATAATCTAAATCAAATATATCATATAATGTCTGCAGCAGCTCAAGAAAGAGATAATGAAACCATCAAATATGCAATTCAAAATGGATATGCAGATGTAAAAGGTGATATTATCCTTAGTAATACAGAAATCATTAGTAATGCAGAAAGCAATTATAGTTTCCTTCAATCAAACGTTTTGATTAAGGCTGCCTTAGAAGGTGAGTTGGAACTGGTGAAATCTTTGGAAGAGAAAGGTGCAAATATGGGATACAGGACATCACATGGAGAAACTTTTCCACATGCGTTTTGCATCAATGGAAATGTCGAAGGTGTGAAATTTGCCTTAAATTTCATTGATGTTAATGATGTTAATAATTCTAATGAAACACCATTATATTGTTCAATATGGGCTTACCAACTAAATGCAATTCAATATCTGCTTGTTAACCACAGCTCATGTATAGAAAAATTAAAATCTGCGGATGGTACAATAATTGATGAATTTTTTAGAAGAAGTGTTGATATTCATGAATTGTCTCGCTCATTGGTTGGTATAGCATTAAAATCACCAAAATTTAACATTGGAAAGTACGTCAAACCTTTCATGGATTATATGTCCAAAAAAATTAATGAATAAAAGCATAAATACATAACAATTCTTTATTCTATATTGTCTAAATTTTGGTATTTGCTTCTGATTTTCAGTTTCTTGTAATAATTAGAAAGCATTCTGATGAATATCACGGCGAAGAAAATAAGTATAACTAAAGAAATACTTATAATAATATCGAACAAAATAGAAACAAATAAAATCATGTTTTTGACTGGTCTTTTTAGTTTTCCTTCACCATATTTCTTAAAAAGAGGTTTGTAGAAATCAGAATAAAATCGATTATTCATTTTCACGTAAATATCACAAGATACAGAGCCGTACCTCAATTCTTTGGTAAATTCATACAATGATGTAGTGAACTTAGAAATATCTATATCTGTTAAATATTTAAAGAGATCTGTTGGTGTCATCAATATGAAATTCAAGAATGGAGTTATTAATTCAATAAATTCATTATATTCTGGATAAATTGATGTAATATCTTCTCTTGTTATTTGGAAATCGTTTTTTATTATGAAATCAATTAGTTTTTGGAGATTTAAAATAGTTTTCTTTCTCTCTTTTGTTTTTGTAACAACAGCATTGATAAGATTTGGAACACTTTTAACTTTAAGAGCTTTCCATGCTTCAATAGTTCTCATAATGTAAATATCAAAAATCTCAAAATCCCAAAAAGCTCCTTTTGCAGAAACTCCTTCATTATATTTATTATTTGCATCTATGAACTGTGCAAACGAATTTGTTAAAGAATTGATTTTCAAAAGTCCTTCTAAAGTTAAATCTTCTTTAATAATGTTTTTCAAGTCATTGAGGAATGCAATTATATGTTTTATTAGGATAGGATGTAATTTACTGTTTTCTTCAAGAATTTTTATTAATTCTGAAATTGAATTTTTATTAATTCTGAAATTGAATTTTTAATTATTTCGACATCCATTGGTTTTATACCATAAATTGCTAGTATTTCATTGATTTTTGATGAAGGTTTTATGTCTTTGAAATATTTTGCTGCGAATATGATATTTTCTGACCAAGACATTGAAAATTTCGGAATTTGTCGCTTTTTATCATTCAAAAATAAAATTGCTGCTCTTACTTTGTAATAGTTACTGATTTTCTTAGAAATTGATTCATTATTCATTATTGTATTGAATAATGGTCTAAATAAATCTTCATTTTTTCTCCTTAGATTAAAAAAGATGCCATCTTTGTCGCATATAAACGAATAACTCTTAGGAATTGCAATGCTAAATAATGGAAAATCTGGATTTGTATATGAAAGAAAATTAAACATTTTTGATCAAATTGAATTTGGTATTTTTATGGTGTTTGTATTCAATTGTTCCCTTAAGTTATCAATTATTGGTTCAATTTTGTTTATTATTTGTTGTGTATCATGATCATTGAGATTCATAACTTTTTTTGAATAATCGAATGCTCTTATTATAAACTTAATCATATTTTTCAGTAAAAGCTTGCTTTCTGGTGCAATTTTCGCATATGGAGTTAAAATTGTCAGAAATGATTTCATTAAAAGTATCGTTGATCCATTTAATGCTTCACATGTGGAAATGATTAAACTATGTATATTAGAGATTAACTCATAGAGATTTATTTTGTCATCTTCGATAGATTTTGATAAATCATTAAATATTTTCATTACTTTATCTGAATCCATGAAAAGTTTAGTGGGTACTTCTATCATTGTGAAGTTATCAACTAGAAATGCATGTTTTGCTATTTCTGCTGCATTAAAGTAATATGAGATATTAATATTCAATGCTGTAACAATATCCTCAACAGTAATTGTATTGTTATTTTCTGAAATTTCTTGAACTAGGTCGCGTAATTTTGCAAAGTTGCCTAAAGACCAAAATTTTGAATTTACCTTGGAAATAGAATCTGCAAATGGCTTTATATGTGTATTATACATATGAAATTCGTTTATCTTTGAATGATTGTCGAAAAAGAAGCGATAATTTATTTGATACTTGTTTCTTAAAATTTTTGGTGTATAGATAGTATTTTTCTCGTTATTGTAATTCAGGTAATTAAGTAGGAGATCTCCAATTTGTGTATCAGGCGAAAATATAAAATTTAAAATTCGTTTTGTTTCTTTCCAATGATTAACTTGTGTGAGATCGATTCCATCTGTTGAAAGTAAGCCAGAAATGTCGAAATTGGTAGCTTGAATCACTCCACAAAAAAGAAAAAAACATAAAAACATATGAAATTTTTTGAAAGCTTTCACAATAATTATTCAATGTGCAATTGGTTTTATTCCAAGAATACAATGAACACTTCAAAGGAGCAATGAGGTGGAATTAATCATCCATGTACATTCCAATTTACCAACAATTTGTTTTTATAATTTAAAATGACTTGCCTATATGCATTATGCTATAGGAATTAAATAACAAAGCGCGATTTATGACTAGATTTAAATGCTCATATCACTATAAAATCTGAGTGATATTCAAGATTGAGATGATATTCAGAAGTATGACTCCATCATTTCCAGCCAGAGATATTGTATACATATTATCAACATAAGGAAGCTTAACTTGAGACCTAGGAGAAAAATTGACCAAAATTCAGAAATAATCTTGGCAATTAAAATCATATAGTCTTAAATCTTTGTATACATACATTGTGTTAAAGAAATATTCACTTATAAATACTTTTTTACAAAAGTTGGCTGTTTTCAAAACAATCATAAAAATAAAAATAGTAAAAACTTACTTTCTCTTTGGCTTAACAGGTAAGACATTAGAACGAGGAGGAGTAGCGAATGGATCCTGTGAATAATCCACTCTATATGCTCCTACATCGAGTTGTTTCAGTCCAAGTGATGGATCTTCTTTCTTCTTTTCTTTCTTCGCTTGTCCAGGTGGGATAATTGTGTTATCATATCCAGACAACTTAGTTATAGGTGCTGGCTCTGGCTCCGCTGACTGGTATTTAGGTCTAAAGACTCCCGCAGGAATAAGGTTAATTTTTGACACTTTTTTGATTTTATCCTGAGGAATTGTATACCATTCATAGACTTTTTCATCGCAGTGAGCCTTAATAGCTGCTCTATTGATGAGGGAAAGCATCATTTCGTAGTTAGGATCCTCATCGAACTGTAAATTGGAGATGTAGACGTAGATTTGTCTGTATTCTTCAGGTAATGAGGAACATAACTGGCTAACTGTAATGTTTCTCTTCATATCTTCGATCTGCTTCTTATCAGAAAGGCCTGTCCAAGGAAGTTTTCCGTTAATAAGCTCGAGAACTGAGTAGAACCATGATATCAAATCATCTCTTCTTGAAAGATCCATTTTCTCATGTGCATTGAGTGGAGCATAATTGGATGTACCTGCAAATCCGAATTTCTGGCGTTGTTCGACATGAGTTCCATCTTCTTGTCTGAATTTTCTGGCCAAGCCAAAATCAATCAAGACAATTGGATATGTAGCATCGGCACGAATTAAGAAATTGCCTGGTTTGATGTCACGATGGATTAAACCATGTTGATGAACGTCAATAATTGCGCAAAGCATTTGCCTTGAGAGACGGATAGTTGTTTCGATTGAATATGAGTGTGTTGGGAGTATTTTAGCTAATTGAGAAAGTGATGGACCAAGTAACTCCATTGCAATGTAATGATATTGAGGTGCACTTCCGATTTTGAATATTTTTGGAAAATACTGAGATCCTTCAACCATCTTGTAGTACTGTGACTCTTGCTCTATCGCTTTTTTCTGTGCATTTATTGGTTCGAGTTTTATTGCCAGTAATTCTCTTGTATCTGGATCACTAGCCTTATAAATAGTGCTATAACCACCGTGTCCGATGTACTCTTCGACAACATATGGACCAATGATTCTATCCTTTGGAATAATGTCTGCGTGGGCTAAGAAACTTCTCTCAGATTCAGACATCTGTTTTTTTATTATTTCTAAAATTTCAGGACGATATGTAACGCATATTTACAAGTATCAATTTTATTTTATAATAAAATACTGTTTCGAAAAGCATTATTTATGTTCCGTACAATTATCATTTAAATCTAATTATTTGAGGACTTTTTCTTTCAAAATTGTTTTTTGTCTATTTCTTTCAAGATGGAAAACATCGAATCGGCTACAATACAACACTATTGGGATACAGCAGTTAAGCTTAACGAGGTGTCTCCAGAGCTATCTGCTTCGATGCTTCGTGAAATGATGGAAGAATTAAGAGAAGAAAGAAAAGATATCCCTCCTTACTTCAAGAAAATGTTTTGCTTTAAATGCTTTTCATTATTCCATTTGGGTGAAAACTGTCAAGTTACAATTGGAGGAAACAGTAAACATCCAAATATAAAATACATCGAATATAACTGTTCTAAATGCAAAAATATTCAACGAATTAATGTACAAAGATCTAAAGAAGCACCTAAACCTATTCCTCCACCAACTAAACAGCAAAATCCAAAACAAAATCAAAAGAACGATAGAAAGAGAAAAATAATGATGAGTATATTCCAGTAATAGTAGAAAATGAAAAAGGAAAATACATGGCCATTAAGATTTTAAAAAATCTAACCATGCGCATTATATAAATGGCTAAGATTCATGTCTCTTATATAAAAATTGTTTGTATTTTTAATAAATCGACATAAACTACATTCTTAAATTAGCATATCTTCGCATGAAGTGATGTCAATAATACACTTTCAAAAGCATTCACTTTGTCTTATGAATAATTTTATCATTGAATTATTATGATAGTTGATCATATAGCATGCTATAAACATCTGAAATTTTGTAAAACTTTCAATATAGAATAAATACTTGAAACGAAACAAAACTTTTATTTAATAACAAAAAAATAATACTAACAAAAATTTACTGTTGCTCAACAGGGAGGTTTTCAACACTTTTACTTGACTTAGACTTAATCAAATTTCTTCTTTCTTGAGCAGTTTTATCATTAGAAATCAGAGATTCAATAAATTCATTTCGAACATCTTCAATGGACATGTATCCTATGATTTCTCTTCTCATCACAACCATAGGTTCTTGTTCCTCCTTAACCTCCTCAACTTTTTTAGAATCTTTAAGTGATTTTGTTGTTGGTTTCTTTGAAGGAGGCTGTTTTGCATTCTTTGGACTCATACCTTTCTTTCCATGTGTTGGAGGAGGTGTCTTTGTCGCAGGAACTAAATATTCTTTTGGATCTTTATAAACAAAAATTGCAAAATTATTACTCCAAACGAAATCAACCTGTTCAATGTTGGCTGGGGTTCTAACTGTTCCTATATATTTACCATCCGGATTCAAAAATGATACATTTGGAATTAATTCTAATTCAAGACTAGAAAACTCCAATTTCTTTGAAAAATAAGTGCAAAGACCTGCATCAGATGGTCTTCCAACCGTTGTAATGAGATTCGATTCTGTGGATATCATATCAACAATGTCTTCATCGCTAATCGAAAAAATTTCACCTGTCACTTTTTTGCCATCAAAATTGTAAGCAGTTATATTTCTTGATGTTGTGATTGTAAAAATTGTATTCTTTATGGCTTTCATTTTTGTAATTGCTCCTCTCTTTTGGAATGTATGAGCAGAAATAGCTTTTCTCTTGATATTTAATATACAAAATGAACCATTTTCGAAACCGAAAGCTACAATACCTTTATCAACCTCACAGACGCACATAACTTTCGATGGTAATAGAAAATCGGAAACTTGTTGGAGCGTTGGTGTTAATTGGAATAATAATAAAACTTGGAAGCTCTCAAAGTAAATAAGGAGCAAGTTTTCATGAATAAATACTGTCGCATTATAATGTGTAATCTGTATTGGAGCAATAGCTTCTGCTGTTAAGTTTGATGGAGATTTATTTCTTTTAACAGCTTTTGTAGGAGCTGCTTTGCTTTTACGAGCATTCTTTTTCTTTGTTGTTGGATCTTCTAACTTAATTGTAGTTGATTGCTCTGAATTTACTGGTTGATTTGTTAATAAACATTTTTCGATTTCGAAAACTGGTTCCAAATTGAGAGCTTTAACTGCAGCTGTTTTTGCAGCTCCTGATTCTTGAGTTTGAAACTCTTGAGGAGAATGGCAATCATAAACGGAGCATCTTCCGTTTCCATCTGTAATTGTAATATAGAAATCTGAGCTTCTTGTAATAGTCATTGTATCAAAATGATATGATGATATGTCGATTTCAAATGTACCTCTAATTTGGAAATTATTTGATACAAAAATTATAAAAGCTGATTCATCACATGCAAATACGATAATGTTATTTTCATAATCTGTTTCGAATGAAAATAGATGTGAAATTGGACCTTGGGCAAACTTTGAGATTGCTGAAACGTTAATTGTCAACATTTGTTGTTTTGATTCAGGATTATATATGTGAATTGTTCCTGCAGTAGTTCCAATCATGATATTCTTTGTGTTTGCATAAATTTGATAGATCGAAATTTCATTTTCGGTTAATTCAGTTGAAGTAACATAATTTTGAAGAGAAGTGATTGGAATCTTTCCTACTTTCGTAAGGCGAAGATTGTGGCAAACAAAAGCGTTTTGAGCCTCTGTTGAACCGCCATCTTCTGCCAAATTTATTGCTTCTTCTATAGTTTGTACAAGAATTTTTGAGATAAAGCGATAGGGTTGTGGAAGTGGATCAAAAAGTATCTCATCATTATTAGCTGAAACACATCTACGATTCCTAATATCATTCATCTTTTCCAAAACTTTGTAAACCCTAACGTACATAATAGAGAAAATATGCGATCTATTGTAATAAACAGAAATTCATCAAAAGTGACAGCTCTCAATTTTTTGACATTTGTAAATTCTAAATTGAATGAGAAAAATGAAATAATACTAAGCATAATACAATATTCTAGATTTAATTATAATTAGGAAAAAGTTAGTTTTGAGAGTACTTTTCATAGGCATATAGAATGAAATCTTCTGAAAAATAATATCACATAAACTCATATTATTTTCTAATATATAACTATTTTATATAAAAATCAAATTCAATGATCTTAAAAGCGAAGGATAAACCTCAAAATTTACGAATATAATGAGTGGGAATATAATGCTTATCTATCATAAAACCATATGAAATATCAATTTTTGCTTTACGCCTAATTTTTGACGACAATTAGCAAAAAATGTTAAATGTTAACACTCAGTCCATTTGAATATGAAAAATAAAATTGACTTTGATTAAATGTTTTTATTTATCATGCAATTCTTCTTGCGACCAAAGATTTGAATAAAAGTTCAAAAAATAAGATAGCTTAAAAAATAATATACGGTAGTGTTTACTAATAGATGAATAGTATATAAATTCTATTAAAATGGATTTGATCCAAAAAAATATATAAAATTTGATCATAAATAAAATCGTTTTAAATTACTTCTTCATTTAAATTATAACAATTATTTTTGGTTTTATATTTTTTTGGATCAAATCCATTTGTAATAAACAGAAATTCATCAAAAGTGACAGCTCTCAATTTTTTGACATTTGTAAATTCTAAATTGAATGAGAAAAATGAAATAATACTAAGCATAATACAATATTCTAGATTTAATTATAATTAGGAAAAAGTGAGTTTTGTGAGTACTTTTCATAGGCATATAGAATGAAATCTTCTGAAAAATAATATCACATAAACTCATATTATTTTCTAATATATAACTATTTTATATAAAAATCAAATTCAATGATCTTAAAAGCGAAGGATAAACCTCAAAATTTACGAATATAATGAGTGGGAATATAATGCTTATCTATCATAAAACCATATGAAATATCAATTTTTGCTTTACGCCTAATTTTTGACGACAATTAGCAAAAAATGTTAAATGTTAACACTCAGTCCATTTGAATATGAAAAATAAAATTGACTTTGATTAATGTTTTTATTTATCATGCAATTCTTCTTGCGCTACCAAGATTTGAATAAAAGTTCAAAAAATAAGATAGCTTAAAAAATAATATACGGTAGTGTTTACTAATAGATGAATATATATAATTCTATTAAAATGGATTTGATCCAAAAAAATATAAAACCAAAAATAATGTTATAATTAAATGAAGATAATTTAAAACGATTTTATTTATGATCAAATTTTATATATTTTTTGGATCAAATCCATTTTAATAGAATTTATATACTATTCATCTATTAGTAAACACTACCGTATATTATTTTTTAAGCTATCTTATATTTTTGAACTTTTATTCAAATCTTTGGTCGCAAGAAGAATTGCATGATAAATAAAAACATTTAATCAAAGTCAATTTTATTTTTCATATTCAAATGGACTGAGTGTTAACATTTAACATTTTTTGCTAATTGTCGTCAAAAATTAGGCGTAAAGCAAAAATTGATATTTCATATGGTTTTATGATAGATAAGCATTATATTCCCACTTCTATTATATCGTAATTTTTGGGGTTTATCCTTCGCTTTTAAGATCATTGAATTTGATTTTTATATAAAATAGTTATATATTAGAAAATAATATGAGTTTATGTGATATTATTTTTCAGAAGATTTTGTGTTCTTCTTCAAAATTTTATTTTTTATTAAAAATAATCTTTACAAAATATACATTTACTTTAATTAATATTTAAAAACGTGCTCTATCAAAAGTTCCAAAAATTCAATATTTTAGCTTTTCTGAGGTGTCACTTTTGATGAATTTCTGTTTACAACACATTTTAATAGAATTTATATACTATTCATCTATTAGTAAACACTACCGTATATTATTTTTTAAGCTATCTTATTTTTTGAACTTTTATTCAAATCTTTGGTCGCAAGAAGAATTGCATGATAAATAAAAACATTTAATCAAAGTCAATTTTATTTTTCATATTCAAATGGACTGAGTGTTAACATTTAACATTTTTTGCTAATGGCGTCAAAAATTTTCTCACTGGGTTTTCGTCTATCAATCCCAGCTCATTATATACGCAACCAATCAAAAATCTGATATGGGAGTCCAAGGCTAACTTTTTGTCGTCTACCTAATAAAAGAGGAAGCAGCATTAGTGAGAATAATCGCAAATATTCAATTTAAATTATCTTTTTATTCTTAATTTAAAGTGACAAAAAGAATAAAAAACCTATTCTAAGGCATGTTGTTATGTAAATGAGACTAGACATCATATTTTATGTTATGAAAAAAAAATATTTAGAATTTTAGAACAAAATAAATAGAAAAAATAGCATAACTTATGGATGTGCGTATATTAAATTTAATAAATTAAGAGAAATTATTTTTGGCGCCAAAATTATTCGTTAACTCTCAAATTTTTCTGAGTCAATAAGCCGCCAAAAAAGTGTCATTTCTTTATAGGAAAGGAAACCTATTTGACGAACAATCCGGACACTAGTGCCTCAGCGAATTTCCCCAAACCCACCAATCCCCTCCCTGCTGTTGTACACCATCGATGGAAAGTAAGTCATCAATAGTCTCTTTTCCTGATTTCAAGCTAACGTTAGATCATTCATGAAAGAAATCATTGCCTTTCATCAGAGACTTTCGTTATAACTGCGCTGCTCTCAAGTTCATCTTGAGAAATTTACGTAATAACTGAATTCCCAAAGTTCTTTAGGTGATCCAAAACACTGTAGCTGCTTGAACTTTGGACGAGCCTCGCACCCCAGAGAATAGAAATCCCAATCTTGCTCATGTTTAGTTGAATTAGTCTGCAGCAGTACAGCTCTGATACCACAAGATCGTGATGTATACAAAGTCACAACGCTATTTGATTCAACAACTAGCTAGTTTTGACATCAATCAAATTGCAAAATTTGACTTCGTTATGAGCTCTTTGTAGCAAAAATACATTACACTTAAAGACTAGTTGCTAGACTGTAGTAGTTTGTTCGTATATATCTATTTTTCCCCAACGTATTGCATACTACATTTTGACAAGACTTGCAACCTTATAGTAACCTCGTTGGGAATTGTTCAAGCAAAGCGTAGGTAGTTAAGGTCGAGTAAGAGTTCTTCTTAAATCTTTCACTGAATGAGTAGGTGTTGGAAGAATTGTTCTCTAAAGCGATACAGCTGCGCTACATGTTCGTCAACTTGTCTAGAAATAAATATATCATTTGTTTTATACGTTTTTTCGTAATAAATCTATTTGTATTTGTTGTATTTGAGTATGAAGATAACAAAAACTACGGCATAAGACGCAGTACACTGGGCTTCGTTGCCATTTTATTTACCATGTTAAGAATAAACTTAACAGACATGCTTTGTTTTCGACGAAGCCATCTAAAATAACGTACATCTAAATAAAACTAAAAAACTGTAAAATTTCTTTATTTGATAGTATACTTCAAATTATGCACTATACCTTCTAGAATTCTATAACACTCTTTGCATATAATTTTTTTAAAAAAAAGTTATATCTCGACAAAAATATGATTTATCAATAGAGTATGTAAAATAAAACTCATTCGCAGTATTAAAAAATCGTAAATCTTTCCAAAAAAATTTTGAATTACAAATTTTAAAACTTAAAACAACATTTTTTGAAGCGAAAAAACGAAATCTAATTTTTTTTGGAAAATTTAGAATAAATAGAGCTCTTTAACTCGTCGAATACAAATTGTTTTCAAGTTTTTTTCGACCGGAAATTGAACTTTTAGAGTTTATACAATAAGATTCACATGAAAAAATACGGGTTTAACAAAGAAATCACCAATATAAAGGTTTTTTAGTAGAACGAGATTGATAAAAACTATGGTATGATAAAAAGACGATAATTTTTTTGGCGGGATAATTGAAGAATATGAATGATTCGAATTACAGACATACTCTAGTCCGAAACTTACTATGGTTCGTGACTTATTTTTGACACAGAATAGCTGTAGACTAAGGCTTACTCTAGATCCAGACTTATTATACAATTAAATTTGCTTTTGGAATAAGACTTAATTTTAGTTACAAACTTATCTTAATATCAGACTTATATTTAGAATCAGACTTACTTTAGTCTAGAACTTACATTTAGAATCAGACTTACATTTCAAGTCAGACTTACTTTCGTCCGAAACTTACATTTCAAGTCAGACTTACTTTCGTCCGAGACTTACATTTCTAGTCAGACTTACATTTCAAGTTATACTTACTTTCGTCCGAGACTTACATTTCAAGTCAGACTTACTTTCGTCCGAGACTTACATTTCAAGTCAGACTTACTTTCGTCCGAGACTTACATTTCAAGTCAGACTTACTTTCGTCCGAGACTTACATTTCAAGTCTGTCTTACTTTCGTCCGAAACTTACATTTCAAGTCAGTCTTACTTTCGTCCGAAACTTACATTTCAAGTCAGTCTTACTTTCGTCCGAGACTTACATTTCAAGTCAGACTTACATTTCAAGTTATACTTACTTTCGTCCGAGACTTACATTTCAAGTCAGACTTACTTTCGTCCGAGACTTACATTTCAAGTCTGTCTTACTTTCGTCCGAGACTTACATTTCAAGTCAGACTTTCATTTCAAGTCAGTCTTACTTTCGTCCGAGACTTACATTTCAAGTCAGACTTACTTTCGTCCGAGACTTACATTTCAAGTCAGACTTACTTTCGTCCGAGACTTACATTTCTAGTCAGACTTACATTTCAAGTTATACTTACTTTCGTCCGAGACTTACATTTCAAGTCAGACTTACTTTCGTCCGAGACTTACATTTCTAGTCAGACTTACATTTCAAGTTATACTTACTTTCGT